GACTATAACTTCCTTCAAACTCATTTATTTGGGAAGCTGAACCACGGTATGAGAAACTAGAGGATTCAAGCTTTCTAAAAAGTACCCAAAAGTTTCTTAAAAGTCAGTAGTTCAAAAATTAGTCCGTTGCTACATTCTTTTTGAAGGGCATTTTCCAAGCCATTCTTTCAAGAAAGCGGGTTTTTTAGGTTTCACTGCCGCAACCTTCAGGGAAAACGAGATCGTGCTGACCGATAGGATGTGTCAGAATGCTTTGTGCATGTGCTTGCACTGGTATCCCCCTGCCTTGGTGTGCGCCACGCCTCGGTCGCACTCCTGATTCGCTGATTCATTTGGAAAGGTCATTCGGAAGTAAGGGGTTTATAAACGCTCTAGCATCAATAATCTTGCGTAAACGTAATGTGCTGACTATTGTCCATGTTGTCTTAGGCAATACTCCAGCTACACTTTAGTTTCAAATGTGGTTTCGTGGGTGGACCCATGTCATGGTGGGAGCACTTTTTTGAACGATGCTACATGTCTTGCAGCTGCTGTTTCTGCAAGTCTTCCTTTCTCATGCTCTTCCTGAAACATGGTTATGATCAGTAGGGAGATTACCACAAATCCCACTGCCGGCCACCGAGAGAGTACGACCCCCCCCCTCCGGGTCCATCCAAGTACGACCCCCCCCGTTGCTACTTGTAGCAACATAGGGTTGACCCTGCTTGGGGGCGCACTGCCACATGTTATCGATTTGTTTTCGTCGTTTTCTCTGCGCCCTCCACGACGAGAGCCACGACGAGAATGTGGTCGTCAACTGGAGCGCCATCGCTGTAGAAAGCGGAGTATGGCAAGGCATCGGTTCTGCCGCAGAGAAGTGGTATGAAGAAGCCGTACACAATAAGGTACATTGTTGTTCATTTCCTATTCCTGAGGTGTCCAATTTTGGCTGTTCCGACTTGTTTTTATATGCATCCAAAATCCAACGAATCCAGGGCCATCACGACTTTAGCTGGAATGCCGATCAAAGGGGTATTGCATCTAGCCAGAGCAAGCGTATCTAGAAGTTACAAATCAATTAACCGTTTGAAGAAATTCATACAGCAGCTTCCAGGCTGAAGCGATTATGTAGGCCTCCTTGAGCTCGACGGTGATGGTAGATGACGTCATATTCTCGAGGACGGTGATGGCAGTGAAGAAGGGATTCTGCTTGTTAAGGGACATCTAAGGGATACTTTGCCGTGAAACATCCATCAACAGCTGCACCCTCGCAACAAATAGTTTGGTGTACGCCCGCACTTTTTTCTGCTTTCCCTGTATATTTAAGACCCTCAATTTATTGAGTTGTCCGAGGGATAATAACGAGCCATCCAATCCATCACCAATTACCACCGTCTATTGGTAGACATTGAGGCGAAGGAATGGTTTTTTAAGACATCGTTTCGTTGAGCAGAATAACATGTGAACATAATTAGAGGCGAGCAGGGCTTAGCTCACTTAATTAGTAGCTCCCTTGGGTTGAGGTGAGTGATCCGATACTGTGGAGGTCACGCCACTTTCCCTCATGAAAACACGGCACTATGACGCTAGAGGGGCTGAGGACTTTCATCAGATCCCACCAAAACTATCAGCGCCCGCCCAATTCATACTTCTGGCTGCGTCGCTGAGGTTAATAGCTTTGCTCCCCATTCTCTACTCTCTTCACCGCTCTCCTCGATTCACATGAATCTCTCATATCACATTACCTCTTAGAAGAAGGTCCTCCAGGTCAAGCCACGCTTTTTCAAAACGGTTTTTGCACATTGTAGAGACGCATATAGGGTGCACAAAACCATGTTTCATTTTTTCTAAACGGCTTTAGCAGTACTAACATAAGGTACGAGTTCATGGTTCGATCCCTCGTGGTGGCAACAAATTTTGTATTTGGAATTTCGCTACGGGTTGGTGACGAATAATGCTAAATGTCAAAATCAGATGTCATATTCAACTCTTTGAAGCCAACAATTGGCCGTCACTCTGATTGCAAAACATAGCCGCCGCGGGGGATCAAACCATCAACAGTGCCTTATGCTCTTTTTTGATATTAAGAAAACCGTTAAGCGAAAACGAAACATGGTTTTGTGGTCCATACAGGCGTTTCTGCAATATGCAAGGAACCGCTTCAAAAAAGCGCGGCTTACCGTGAAAGACCCCTTTGTTAGACTTCTGCGCAGCGTAGAGCAATGAGGTTCGTATTTACTGTGTATTTCACGAGTTCTTTCCTTTTTTAACACGTTGACGACATCGCGCGTTTTGGCATTTTTGGCCGCGTGGGACCAGAGCGGTTCTGCGAGCGCCGCCGCCTCACAACAAATCTGTGGATTTTGAGCTTTAAATACGCAATACTTCGATGCGACAAAATGTTTTCACTGATATTCGGTGTGTCAAACTTATTGGAAGGTACACATGTGAAAGTGCGGTCGAATGATGTGTTACAGCATTGAAAAGGCAAGTTTCACTTACTTTTGCTTTAGTGATTTCAAAATTATTTTGGACGTGGTTGTTTCGGTAAAAACACATATCTTGCCACACGAGTAGCTTTGTACTCACTTCTAATATTCTTTTTTATCTACATGTTCGTGTTAATGAAGAGAAAATGAGGAATGAACTGAACGGATATTTTCGTCCGGTCCGAAAAACCTCTGCCAAACTAAAGAATATTTGGTCATTCTATAAGCCGCGTGGTTCTTGGTTATGTTGTGGTATGGCCTAAAAAATGAACACAAAAAACCTGGGAAGAAATGGCGCGTTCAAGAAAAAACTGAATGTAAAGGGTGTGGCAACTATAGTTGCCACAATGTCCATTGCGGCGTGCAAAACGCGGCAAACCTAGTTGCCGCGCTGTCGTCAAGGTGTTAAAATGCCGCCCCATCCCTACTTTCATATTTGAATGGGATTAGCACATTAATTTTATCCCGATCCTTGTCTTTGGAGTATCTGCTTCGTTCGGAACACTCCATTCATACAGTCACTAAAAACTGTTGTAAGTGTGAACCTAGCAATTCAATATCATCTCTGTTTTTTTTTTGTCTGTTCAGCGGATTTCCGCGAATTTATGATTCCATGATGACTCACTGATGACAATGAAA